GGAGCACCCTGACCCCCAGGGAGGTTGGTGGCTCATAGATGAGTGGCACCCTCTGTAGCTGTCTCTGCCTGCCCATCTCTTCCTGGTCGTCAGCCCCAGGCTTTTCAGCTCTGCTGTACCCAGGTCTCTGCTTATCCCCTACACTTTCTTGCCAGGGGCTTCTTTTTTGGTTTTGGTTTTGTTTTATTTTCTAGGCACTTTTTTCTTTTCCCCAAAGAAACCTTTTATTTAAGGAATACAAAGTTTATGCATTTCATAAGTACAACTTAGGAATATAGTGATTCTTCCCACCATATCTGCTCTCTGTGGGACCCACAATCCCACTGCTCCTCCTCCTCCCTCTCCCATTTCCAGTCCCATTCTCCATTTTTAATTAACTTTATACACAGAAGACCAACTCTATACTAAGAGTTCAACAATGTGCACAAAAAAACAAAAACAAAACAAAACCCTGTTCCTCAACAGTCAAGACAAGAGCTGTTCAAAGTCATTGCATCTTGAAATTAATTTCACTTCCTTTTTTTTTTGAAACTTAATTAACTTTATTTTTTAACTTAGTTAACTTTAAAGAAGCACCCAAGAATAATACATCTTTTGCAAGCACTTAGACATAATTATAATACAACTCTTCGAGGACAGAGGTCCTGCATGGGAAGTTAGTGCACAGTGACTCCTGTTGTTAATTTAACAATTAACACTCTTATGTATGAGGTCAGTGATCACCCGAGGCTCTTGACATGAGCTGCCTAGGCTATTTTTGAATCCACAAACTCCATCAGTATTTAGACAAGGCCATAAGCAAAGTGGAAATTCTCTCCTCCCTTCAAAGAAAAGTACATCCTTCTTTAATGACCATTTCTTTCCACTGGGGTCTCACCCACTGATGTCCTTCCTGTAGAACATTTTTTGCCACAGTGTCTTGGCTTTCTATGCCTGAAATGTTCTCATGGGCTTTACAGCCAGATCAGAATGCCTTAAAGGCTGATTTGGAGGTAAGAGCGCTACTTAAAGCAGTTGTCATTCTATGAGTCTGCTGTATGGACTGCTTCCTCTGTTGGAGCATTCACTCCTTTTAATTCTATCTGTCGTTATTACCAGACACTTAATCCTATCCATATGATCACTTCAACACTTCAGATGGTATTTTCACCACCCAACTTAGGGGAATTTGTGGGACACCAGGGGCTTCCTAGAGGGAAGACTTGCCTTTCCCTTCTCCCTGCCCCACCTGCTCTTCTTCCCCCTCCCTTGCCCCTCGTCCTGCCGTGCTTCCTGTGCCCAGACAACCTGCCAGCAGCTGAACACCGATGAGCTTCTTAGCGCCACTGTCTCTGTCCCCAGAGTGCAAAGAGCAATAAGAAATGGTTTGTGGCTCCCAGCAGGGGAGAAGCGTGTGAGACTGGTGCTTCTGGTCTGGTGGGGGGTGCTGTGCAGGGTGTGAACAGGCTGGTTTGTCAGCACAGAGGCGGAGGCAGGGGACTCACCACTGAAGAGTTTTCACAGGGAAGAAAGGTGTTGGAGTGGGGTGGAGGAGATGTTCTGAGCAGCCAGGAGACCGTGGTCTGTTCAGAGGTGTGCACTGGTGACGTCCTGGGGTGTGTACTCTGAATGCTGGCCTGTAGCAGGGAGAGGAGGGCCAGGATGGGAGCCCTGAGGGGTGGAGAGGACTGAAGGGGAGGGAAGAGCTGCCCACTAGGCCCTGGGAAGTCCAAGGAGGGCTTTGGACAGGAAGGCTGGGCATGGAAATGCTTCCCGTGGTAGCAGGGAGCAACCTGGCAGGGGAGAGACTGTGCAGGGACCCCCACTTCAGGGCTACACCTGAGCCAGCCCCAGTGGTAGAGGGAACAGGCAGAACCTGTGACCATGCCATCCTGGAAAGCAAAGGGTGGAGTTTAGAAGTGCAAGGGAAGGAGCAGCAGTCATGAGCCGCTGTTGCTGTTGTGAATGAGATGGACCCAGAACCCTCCTATTATCCATTATTGCCAACCTCCCTCCCTGATCCCTTAAAGTCATCTCAAAACCTAGGTACCGCAGAGACAGCGTCCTGCCCTTTCTGGTCACACCCAGTCTGTCCTTCGTGGCTCTTCATCCAATCATTCCTTTCATCAGCAAATGCCCTCTGAGTCAGGTGCTCAGCCCAGGACCTCGATCACATGGTGAATGACAGGGAAAGCACACACCCTCCCTGAAGTCCTGGGGCCAACTGCACCTGGCCCCGAGGTGCAGACGGGTGGGGGCAGGCGGAGATGACCTCTGAGCAGTTGGCCGGGACCAGATCACTTGTAGACAGGAAGCAGGGAACTGGATCTCAGCCAAGGAGCAGTAGACAGAGAGCCAGCAGGACTTCAGGTGACAGGAAATAGAGAGGCAAGAGTCTGGGACTTAGGGTTGGTGGCAGTATCACATATTTTGTGTATTAGTATGTGGTATGTGTCACACAAGCGACTTCTACCAGCGCCAGCAAATCTAATTTTCAAGGTGTCCCATCTTACTCAGTTGTGCACACCTCATACAAGGGGACACAGGCAGTAAATGGGGACTTAAATCAGACAACAGATCATGTGGGAGTGTCTGCCTCCACTCCTGATTTGGCCCATTCAGTAAAAGTCAAGTATTTGGCACAGAAGAACCTTGCACTGTCCTTTTTCTTTTCTTTTTTCTTCTTCTTATTTTTTTTTTGTGGGGGGTAAATATTTATTTGTTTATTTGAAAGACAGGTTACAGAGAGAGAGAGGCAGAGAGAGAGAGGTCTTCCATCCGCTGGTTCACTCCCCAATTGGCCACAATGGCCGGAGCTGTGCCGATCTGAAGCCAGGAGCCAGGTGCTTCTTCTGGGTCTCCCACGTGGGTGCAGGGGCCCAAGCACTTGGGCCATTTTCTACTGCTTTCCCAGGCCACAGCAGAGAGCTTGATCAGAAGAGGAGCAGCCGAGACTTGAACTGGCACCCATATGGGATGCCAGCATTGCAGGTGGCGGCTTTACCCACTGTGCCACAGTGCTGGCCCCGTCCTAACTTTCTCTAATGAGGTGAACAAAGGGGTTGCAGGGGAGCCAAAAGTGAGGTTGGACTTAGAGAAGCCTCTAGTAAACTGTGACTCCTTCTGCGGCCGCTGTCCCTTGCTGGAGGTTGATCAGGGGAGCAGGAAGCCTTGAAGCCCCGGGCACCAGGGAAGGGAAGCTTTGGTGCGCGCAGTGCCGGCGATGAGTGCTCCATGGTTACCCGGGCCGAGGCTCGGGCCGGGAGGCCCTCTGGCTTCTGTGTGGTTTGGCATCCATGGAGAGAAGTTGGCAAGTCTTGCGTTGGCCTGAGTAATGCCTGGCCTCTCCGGGAAGGGGAAGAGCAGGCAGAGCCAGGGTTTCCCACCTCCCTGTGGCAGTGGCCTGGAATTGCTAGAATAGCTGGTGAGTCTTCACTTAGCTTCGAAGTCGACCTTGTAGATGCAGCAGTGGAAGGAGCTGTCTTCCCCCTCAGTGTCTGGCACGCTGGCGTCTGCGGGGAAGAATTTGCAGAATTGCTTCTCACCGAATTGACTACAGATGACGGGTACACATTTATTTGGAAACACGTCAAAGTCTTCTCTGTATTTTCACTTGCAGCATCTTGTTCATTGTTTTTACAAGGGAAGGCTAATCCAAGATACGTGTCATCTTAGTCATTGTTTTAAAATGTTTATTGACTATGGCTATAGTGATGCCGTAGGTTTACATAATGTCTCCTGGGATACAGAAGCCTGGCTACAGATTTTCCCTTTGATGCACACAACTGCCCTGACTGTGGGCAGGGAGGGCAATGCCCTTTTTTCACAGGTAAGAAGATGAGGGATCCTCTCCCTCCCAACCCCCGCCCGGCTGTGTGAGTGGGAAGGAGGTTGGGTCTTGCTTCCCTATCCTCGACTGTCACTCCCTAGAAGTTCCTCTGTGAAGGCAGAGACTCGCTGGGAGCTGTGAACCCCCTGTCTCAGTGCCATTCACACACTCAGGGCGGTGAGTCCTCACAACCACAGGACTGCTAGCACCGCCTCCACTCTAGTGGTGGTGAGGCTGTGCCCAAGGAGGCTGACTACCTCCCCCGGCTAGTGAGCTGAGGGGCTGAGCTGCCGGTGCCATCCCACGGCGTCTCAGAATTATCCAATACCAGCCACATTCGTGTTATGAGCTTACTAAATTGCACTCTTTTTGACTCTTAGACAAAGGCTAAAGTAGGAAAGTTTCCTGAAATTTGTTTTCACAGTAAGACAGATTTGCAAGATCTGAGTACTTTGCTCTTGGAAGAGAATGAGACTAAGTGTTTTTATTTATTTGTTTGTTTTTAAGATTTATTTGAAAGTCAGTTACAGAGAGAGAGAGAGAGATCTTGTATCTGCTGGCTCACTCCCCAAGTGCCCACAACAGCCAGGACTGGGCCAGGCCAAAGCCAGTGGCCAGGATCTAGGAGCTTCTTCTGGGTCTCCCACATGGGTGGCAGGGCCCAAGCACTTGGGCCGCCCACTGCTGCTTTTCCCAGACTATTAGTAGCTGGATCGGGACACAAACAGGGGCCCCTATGGGATGCTTGCATCACAGGTGACGGCTTTACCAGCCATGCCAGAATGCTGGCCCTGAGACTAACAGCCTTAAGCATTTCTTGGCCACATCATTACTTGATGCTTCTTAGAAGAAGATAGAATGGGAAAATTCTAACCTGTGTGGCTCATTCAAGGTCAACTGAAGGTCTTAGCCACCATTAACAAATCCAGACACTAATTGGTTTCCCCCTAGGTTTGTGATAAACGAATTGCTTGTGCACGCCAATGCTCCAATCTACCTTTGAGCCAAGTCACGCTGGCTTTGTCTTTATTTCACGCTGTTTGTGCCTAGGCCCACAGCCTCTGCTGAGAGATGCGCGACAAGACGTGGTCTGGCTGGTGATGTAACAAAAGCTGTGGGATGCACTGTGGGGTACTGCACAGTGTTGGCTCTGTCTTTGCGTTTCAAAAAACCACCCATGCTTTGACCCTAGGTGACAGCGACACTGAGGAACCTGGTGGATTCACCACTGGCAAGAACCAAGCTCCTGGGGATCAGCGCCCTGCCCCAGCTCTGCACAGTCATGGAACTGTGCATGGGTGACAAGGACGTCTGCACCAATGTCGCCAGAATATTCAGGTAGGTAGGCCAAGGGAGGAGACGCAGCCTTACAAAAATGCTCGGGCTTAGATTTGGAGTTGTGAATATCTGTGTGTGTGACTGGCAAGGAATCCTTCATTTAAAATGTTTTTGCTTTTTCTTTTTTTTAAAAGATTTTATTTATTTATTTATTTATTTGAAAGTCAGAGTTACACAGAGAGAGGAGAGTTAGAGAGAGAGAGAGAGAGGTCTTCCATCTGCTGGTGCACTCCCCAGATGGCAGCAATGGCCGGAGCTGGGCTGATCCAAAGCCAGGAGCCAGGAGCTTCCGCCAGGTCTCCCATGCAGGTGCAGGGGCCCAAGGACTTGGGCCATCCTCCACTCTTTCCCAGGCTACAGCAGAGAGCTGGATGGGAAGTGGAGCAGCCGGGCCTCGAACCAGTGCCCATGTGGGATGCCAGCGCTTCAGGCCAGGGCGTTAACCCACTGTGCCACAGCGCTGGCCCGTTTTTGCTTTTTCTTCACCTAGCAGGAACGATAAATGGACTGGCCTAAGATTGAAACAAATTATTTCGGCTGATGCTCTTTCCTATGTGACTGTGGTGAGACTCTGAACTCACCGACCACTAGGCCACTTTAGCGCTCCCGAGAGTTGTAAGCTCGCCTCGTGCTTCTGTTTGTTTATGTACAACTTCCCCTCCACTAATTGGAGATGCAGAACGGCACAACAAACACGACAGCTTTCCAGTACACTTGGAAATGTCATTGAGTTGTAGCTCAACAGGGGATCCCTGATTAGGAAGCCTGCTCTGACTTCGTTTGTGACAGAAGGTGGTTTTATTTCAGCCGCTTATCAGTAATGTTTAGACTTTTGTTAGTCTGGAAGTGTTGGTTATTAGAATCCAGGTTCCCTCAAAGCAGTGGGATTAAATTTCAGAATTAAATTAAATTAAATTTCAGAACTGTCTTTAAATTTTTCATAGTTACCCTTCTCAAGAGAACTGGCCCCCCCCCTTTAAAAAAAAAAAGATTTATTTATTTGTTTAAAAGGAAGAGTTACAGAGAGACAGAGGCAGAGACAAAGAGAGGTCTTCCATCCACTGGTTCACTCCCCATATTGCTGCAACAGCTGGAGCTGAGCCAATCCAAGCCAGGAGCCTGGAGTTCTTCTGGGTCTCCCACATGGGTGCAGGGCCCAAGCACTTGGGCCATCCTCCACTCCCTTCCCAGGCCACAGCAGAGAGCTGGATCAGAAGTAGAACAGCTGGGTCTCGAACCAGTGCCCTTATGGGATGCCAGCATTGCAGACAGCGGCCTCACCTGCTACACCACAGCACCGCCCCCCCTTTTAATTAATTAATTAATTTGAAAGGAACAGCAAGACAGAAAGAGGGAGAGACAGAGAGTGAGATCTTCCATGCTCTGGTTCACTCTCCAGATGACTGCAATAGGCAGTGCTGGGCCAGTCCAAAGCCAGGAGTCAGAAACTCCATCAGGGTCTCCCACCTGGTAGCAGGGACCCAAAGTACTGGGGCCGTTATCTGCTGCTTTCCCAAGTGCATTAGTGGGGAACTGAATCAGAAGCGGAAAAGCCAGGTGCTCCCATATGGATGCCATCATAGCAAGCAGTGGTTTAGCCCACGGTGCCACAACACCAGCCCCCTGGACCTTTCTTGAACTACAAAGTTGTAGTTGTTTGAAGAAATCCAAAACTTCATGAAGACAGAATTGGTAGCTGAGCCCCTGTGAGGGTATGAGTCCAGATTTGCTCTTCCCACATCCCATGTTCCCAAGCTTTGCTCTGGGTACTTACCCACTCTTGCTCTGAAGCGCTGTAAAACCATGAAGAGTTGAGTGGCATGTCAGAGTCCCATATACTTTTTTCCTTGGGGACACTCGGTCGTCGGGGCACCTGTTATTGAATACACCGTCCTTTTCTCGCTGACCTTGTCAGCCACACCTAAGTTTCCCCGACACCTGTAAGTCTGACTGTGGGCCTTCCATCCCGGTCAGCTCTACGCTCGGACCACACTGCTTTCCCCATGATGGATCAAAGTCCTGATCCATGACAGATCCCTTCCTTTTTTCTATCTCCCTCACACTACAGATTCATCATGTTCTGCTCTCTTCCTTAGGAAGGGAGGAATCAGCTTAAGATCCAGGATTAGGATGTGAGGGCTTTTAATGGAACTCTGTAGAGCAGACAGAGGAATTGGGGTTGGTGTGAATTGGCATCTATATAATAATGAGTCTTTCATCCATAGACATGTATGAAATCTTCTTTTATGTCCTTCAATAAATTTTATATTATATATATTATATATATTTTATATATATTATATATATATTTATATATATATTTTAGCCAATATAATTTTCTCCGTAAAGGTCTTGCACATCTTTTGCTGGACTGGTCTTTCATGGTACTTGCTGTGATTATGAATAGAATTTTTAGAAAATTATTTTCTCATAGGTTGTTGCTGATGTATGTGAAGATTATCTATGTTTGCTTGCTAATCGGATACCCAGGAATCTTGATGTTCTGTTGAAGAGTTTGCCTTTTTAAAGATTTTATGTATTTGAAAGGTAGAATGACAAGGAGAGAAGGAGAGAGACAGATGGAAGGAGATCTCTGTCTGCTGGTTCATTGTCCAAATGGACACAATGGCCTGGGCCCAAGCTAGGAGTCCAGAACCTGCTCTGAGTCTCCTACAAGGGTGGCTTGGGCCTAAGTTCTTGGGCCATCTTTTGTTGCTTTCCCAGGTGTATTAGCAGGAGCAGGATTGGAACAGAGCAGCTGGGACTTGAACCAGTTCTCTAATATGTTGCAGGCAGTTGGCTTAACTGATTGCACTACAACGCTGGATCCAAGTTTGCTTATACATTCTCTTGGATTTTCGCTGCAAATTGTCTGCAATTAGAAATAATTACTGCACCCCCCTTCCAGCAATTCCTGAACCCCACCTCCCCTGCTATTTCCCCATCTTTGTTAGCATACAAAGCTGGGAGTGTGTTGGGTCTGCTGCCATTCTCCTGACTTTGAAGGAATTATTGTTATGGTCTCACCAGTTGAAAATAATGTTTGTTGAAGGCTTTCTTACAGGGGTGGGGAACCGATTTGCTGCCCAGAAACATCTGGATAATTGTAACATCATTCTCAGGCCATACAGAATTGCCGACTTAAAAATAAGCCTGCTAGAGATTTATTGAATTTCGAGTCCCGCCTACAGGTGCCTTGGCAGGGCCAGTCCAGATGATTTTGTGGGCCTTATACAGGCCAGGCCTGAATGTTTCCCATCCCTGCACTAAACGGTGAGGAAGGATTTTTTTCCTATTAGCAGATGTCAAGTTTTCTCGATGCCTCTCCTGAACCTCTATTGATTATATGGATTTTTTTCTTTAATCTACTAATGTAGTAAATGATAGTCATAGATTTTTCTCATATTAAACCATTATAAAAGAATATGTCAAAAACTTTGTGGAAATAGAATTAAAAGATTAGTTTAGTGCAAAAATTTTTTGAGATCCAAGCATAGCTTGTTTTAATAATGTGCATTTTGAGGCCGGCACTGTGGCATAGCAGATAAAGCCACCGCCTGTAGTGCTGGCATCCCATATGGGCACCAGTTTGAGTCCCAGCTGTTCCTCTTCCAATCCAGCTCTATGCTATGGCCTGGGAAAGCAGTAGAAGATGGTACAAGATAGCCCCTAATAGCCCCTGCACCCATGTAGGAGACCTGGAAGAAGCTCCTGGCTCCTGGCATCGGATGGGTGCAGTTCTAGCCACTGTGGCCATTGGGGAGTGAACCAGCAGATGGAAGACCTCTCTCTGTTTGCCTTTCCTTCTCTCTCTGTGTAACTCTTTCAAATAAATAAATAAATAAGTCTTCAAGTAAATAAATAAATCTTCTAAAAATAATATACATTTTCCATGACATTTTTTAAAGAAATATGAATTTCATAAGTAAAACTTCAGGAATATAGTGATTCTTCCCACAATACCCTCTCCCCATCCACACTCCCACCCCTCCTCCTCCTCCCTCTCCCCTTGCCAGACCCATTCTCAATTAAGATTCATTTTCAATTAACTTTGTACACGGAAGACCAAGTCTATACAAGTAAAAATTTCAACAATTTGCACACACACGCACACACACACACGAAACTATTTCAGAAATAGTTTTACAGTTAACTCCCATAACACAACTCATTGAGGACAGAGGTCCTGCATGGGGAGTAAGTGCACAGTGACTCCTATTGTTAATTTAACAAGTAACACTCCTATATATGAGGTCAGTGATCATCTGAGGCTCTTGACATGAGCTGCTTAGGCTATGGAAGCCTTTTGAATCCACAAACTCCATCAGTATTTAGACAAGGCCATCAGCAAAGTGGAAGTTCTCTCCTCCCTTCTTTGATGGCCACTTCTTTTGCTTGTGTCTCACTCACAGAGATTCTTCATGTAGAGCAATTTTTGCCACAGTGTCTTGGCTTTCCATGCCTGAAATGCTCTGATGGGCTTTTCAGCCAGAAGCAGGTGGCCTTAAGGGCTGATTCTGAGATCAGAGTGTTACTTAAAGTTATTGTCATCCTACGAGTCTGCTGTGTGGGCTGCTTCCCTCCAAGAACTTTTAAAAGATTCCTCATATATTGCTGACTTTGGTTAACTAATATTTTGTCTAGGATTTTTCATCTATGGTCATGAGTTAGACTGACCTGTGCTTGTCCTTTCTTATATTGTCATTGTCTGTTTCTGTGGCAAGTTCAAACCAGCAATTTAAAGTGAGTTGGGAAGTATTCAATTTTTTTTCTCTTTTCTAAAGGAATTTGTGAAAATTAAACTTACCTGTTTTTTGGAAAGTTTGTAGAACTTGCTCAAAAGCTGTTCGAGGCTGGCGCTGCGGCTCACTAGGCTAATCCTCTGCCTAGCGGCGCCGGCACACCAGGTTCTAGTCCCGGTCGGGGCGCCGGATTCTGTCCCGGTTGCCCCTCTTCCAGGCCAGCTCTCTGCTGTGGCCAGGGAGTGCAGTGGAGGATGGCCCAGGTGCTTGGGCCCTGCACCCCATGGGAGACCAGGAAAAGCACCTGGCTCCTGGCTCCTGCCATCGGATCAGCGCGGTGCGCCGGCCGCAGCGCGCCGGCCGCAGCGGCCATTGGAGGGTGAACCAACGGCAAAGGAAGACCTTTCTCTCTGTCTCTCTCTCTCACTGTCCACTCTGCCTGTCAAAAAAAAAAAAAAAAAAAAAAGCTGTTCGGATCCTGGTGTATTTATGTGTGAATCTTATTGGCTATTTATTTAATTTCTTTAATATTTATGTATTTACATCTACCCAGAGTCAAATATTCAAGTATTTATCCATAAATCAACTTCTTAAAAATAAAGATAAAGCCGCACTAAGTCTTCGAGCAAGGTTTTATCATTTTGAAAACATAGCAATGATATAAACACAGACAGCTCTCTGTCATCGACTCATATTTCTTATTTCAACTTGGATCTCTGTCTGCAAGTTATATTTTTATTTGTTAAATTTTCAAACAGTATGAAGTTCTAAATATTATTATTGTGCTTTAATCTGTTATCTTTAATTGTGTTCCCTTTTATTTATGTTACATAATTAACAAATATTTTATAGTGCTGACGACAAGCCAGACAATAAACTAATTCATTTAATCTTCACAACAGCTTTTTTAAAAAAACTTTTATTTAAGTTATGCAAGTTTCATATATTTCATATATACAGATTTAGGAATATAACGATACTTCCCAATCTACCTTCCCTCCCACAGATGCTCCAACCCTTCTTCCTCTTCCCTCTCCCATTCCCACTCTTATTTTTTACAAAGACCTACTTTCAGTTTACTTAATGATGGTAAAGTTAACCCTGCACTAAGTAAAAGTGAAGGAAAAAAAAAAACTGTTCCTCAACAGAAAAGACAAGGGCTGTAAGCAATCATCAAATCTCCAAATGTCCATTTCATTCCAATTCATTACATTTTAGATGCTCTATTAGTTACTTCAGATCAGGGAAAACATATGGATCTGTCTTTTTGGAACTGGCTTATTTCAGTAAGTTTCTAGTTGCATCCATTTTTGTTGCAAAAGACAGTATACAACAGATTTTTAAAAATAAGTACTGCTATTGTCATCTTCATGTGCTATTGAGGACACTGATTCACTCCCCCAAATGCCTACAACAGCCAGGGATGGGCCAGACCTAAGCCAGGAGCCTAGAACTCCTCTGAGTTTGAGTCTCCCACATGGGTGGCAGGGATCCAAACACTTGAGCTGTCACCTTCTGCTTCCCTAGATGTGCATTAACAGGAAGCTGGATTGGAAGCGGAGGCAGGACTTGATCCCAGGCACTCCAGTATGGAATGCCAAAATTCCAAGAGGTAGCTTAACCTGTTGTGCTACAAAACCTGTCCCTGAAAATGTATTTTTGAAGTTGGTTTCCAATTAAAACACAGTCTGACCAGAAAATACGGCCTATGAGAAACCAATGATCTGAAAATTTACCTAGACTTACTTAAAAATATTGATACTTACCTACTAACCTATAAATTAATAGGAAATTCATGAACATCTCCCAGTTTGGTGTGGGTTTGTCAGTATTGCCTTGTGGGTTTTATTTGTTGGTTTGCTTGCTTTAGAAACGTTGAGGCTATTTGCAGGGATTTTTGCCTTCAGGTCTATTTTGACTGAGTTTAGTGTTGCACCACCAACCTTGTATATTAGAGCAGGTTTACACTGGCTTCTAATGGGGTCCCAGGGGAGTCACTGGCATCCAACAGGACTCTGAAAATTTCTTAGCTTGCGCTTTCTGAATCACAAGTATGGGGTAAGGTCACACCACATACGTGTCACAGGCTCCAGGGTTCTGGTCCCCTGTGTCCAGAGCAGAGATCAGGCCTCCTTGCAGGTTGTCTGGGCGGTGTGTGGAGTTATCTCTAGGTTTCTTATCATGAACTGGGCAACTCTTTGAAGGTCTGCATTTCAAAATGACACTATGTATGCCTACATTCCATAGAAAAATGCTGATTTCTCTTTCCCCATTTGCCATTCTGCAGCAAGCTCACCTCCTACCGTGACTGCTGTGCAGCCTTGGCCAGCTGTTCCAGATGTTATGCTTTGTTTTTGAATCTGATAGACAAATACCAGAAGCAGCAGGTCAGTTCTTCATGCATGTCCTGCTTCAGCGTGGTTTTGCACTGGTATGTTCATGTAAGGCCGTGTTGCGTGACTGTGTTTTGAGTGCCTGGGTTTCTGCAAGGAGTTCCTGTAAGCTGTCTCCTGGGCTTCCCAGTAGGCAGTGAGTTACCTAGAAGGGTTGAGGAGGGAGTAGTTTGAGGCAGAAACGTCCTCACTGGGCTGCTGATGTCCCAGGAGGACTTTGAGTTAGGAAGAAGGAAGGTGGACTTCAGCAGCGTTGTTCCATCTGAGTCAGCTAAGTGGGTCTGGGCCTGGACATATGACTTTTAACATAAACCACAGGGATTTCTGGCATAAATTTCAGCTTGTTCTAACTGTACCCTCGATGTGTTTAAAAGTTCTCATAGCCCTGGAAATCTGTAATTCTTTGGTCTTGCTGTCCTTAGAAGATGAAATTTCTAGGTGAAGTATTCAAATGAAATAATTTAGCTTTAATGAGTTGGGGGAAAATGTATATAGTTTTTTTGTCTTTATATGTATTTTATTTTATTTTTATAGTCAACTTTTAAAAATTTTATTTAAGGAATACAAACTTCATGCATTTAATGTATACAAATCTGGGAACATGGTGATTCTTCCCCCTCCTCCCTCCCACCTATACTCCCACCCTTCTTCCTCCTCCCGCTTCCTTTCCCATTCTTATTTTTCATGAAGACCTATTTTCAGTTAATTTTATGCTCATAAGATTAACCCTACACTAAGTAGAGAGTTCACTGAATAGTATGAAGAAAAAAGAACAAAAACAAACAAACAAGAAAAGCATTGTTCGTCAACAGTCAAGACAAGGTCTGTTTAAAATCATTGCATCTCAAGGTGTCAGTTTCACTCCTATAGATTACATTTTAAGTACTCTATTTGTTACCACAGATCAGAGAGACCATATGGTATTTGTCTTTTTTGTGACTGTCTTATTTCACTAAATATAGTGGTTCCCAGTTGTATCCATTTTGTTGCAGATGATAGGACTTCATTTTTTTATATATTCCATAGTGTATATGGAATATACCATAATTTCTTTAAACAGTCTTCAGTTGATGGACCTATGGGTTGATTCCATATATTAGCTATTGTAAATAGAACTGAAATGAATATGGGGGTATAGATCGTTCTTTCATATGTTGATTTCATTTCCCTTGGATAAATTCCCAGAAGTGGGGTGGCTGGATCACATGGTAGGTCTATATTCAGCTTTCTGAGGTATCTCCATACCGTCTTCCACAGTGGCTGCACCAGTTTACATTCCACCAACAGCGGGTTAGGGCACCGTTTTCCCCACATCCTTGCCAGCATTTGTTTGTTGATTTCTGTGTGAAAATCATTCTAACAGGAGTGAAGTGAAACCTCATTGTGGTTTCTCTGATGGCCAGTGATCCTGAGCATTTTTTCATGTGTGACCATTTGATTTTCCAGTCTTAAAAAATGTCTGTTCAGGTCCTTTGCCCATTTCTTAACTGGGTTGTTTGTTTTGTTGTTGTTGAGTTTCTCGAGCTCTTAATAGATTGTGGAAATTAATCCTTTATCAGTTGCATGGTTTGCAAATATTTTCTCCCATTCTGTCCCTTGCCTCTTCACTTTGCTGAGTACAGAAGCACCTCAGTTTGATGTAATCCCACTTGTTAATTTTGGCTTTGATCGCCTATGCTTCTGGGATTTTTTCCAAGAAGTCTTTCCCTATACCAGTGTCTTGTAGGGTTTCTCCAATGTTCTCTAGTAATGTGATGATATCATCTCATAGATTCAGGTCTCTGATCCATTTTGAGTGGATTTTTGTGTAAAGTGTAGGGTAGAGGTCCTTTTATATTTTTAAGATTTATTTATTTATTTGAAAGACAGAGTTACAGAGAGGCAGAGGCAGAGGCAGAGGCAGAGAGATATCTTCCATCCACTGGCTTACTCCCCAAATGGCTGCAATGGCTGGAGCTGGGCTGATCTGAATCCAGGAGCCAGGAGCTTCTTTCAGGTCTTCCACGCTGGTGCTGGGTCTCAAACCAGCATCCATATGGTATGCCAGCACTGTAGGCAGTGGCTTTACCTGCTATGTCACAGCACCGGCCCCCAAGTTAGGGGTCTTGTTTCATACTTCTGCATGTGGAAATCCAGTTTTCCCAGCACCATTTGTTGAAGAGGCTGTCTTTTTTCTAAGGATTGATTTTAGCTCCTTTGTCAAAAATAAGTTGGTTGTAGATGCATGGATTTCTGGAGTTTCTATTCTGTTCCATTGGTTTATACATCTGTTTCTGTGCCAGTACCAGGCTGTTTTGATTATAATTGCCCTGTAGTGTATCTTGAGAGATGGTATTGTAATGCCTCCAGCTTTGTTTTTGTTTGATTGTTTTAGCTATTTGCAGTCTCTTGTATTTCCATATGAATTTTAGTATCATTTTCTTCTAGATCTTAGAAGAATGTTGTTGGTAATTTTGATTAGTATTGCAATGAATCTATAATTGCTTTCAGTATTATGGACATTTGGATTATATTGATTATTCCAATCCATAAACATGGAAGATTTTTCCACTTTTTAATGTCTTCTTGTATTTCTTTCTTTAATGTTTTGTAATTTTCATTGTAGAGATCTTTGACATCCTTGGTTAAATTTATTCCAATCTATTTAAATTTTTTTGTGAATGGGATTGGTCTTAGAAGTTCTTTCTCAGCTATGGCATTGTCTGTGTATATAAAAATATATATAGTTTTTAAAAAAGTAGAACTCACAGATGGCTTATTAATGAGATTATAACAGTACATATACTGAATTTATTATAAATTTTAAATATCCATTTAACACTACTTGTGTTCAACCTTATAAGAAATTAACATGCCATCAACTCGTCAGTGAAACATTTTGTATATGAATACAGTATTTATTCATTTCAAATGCGATAAATTTTCAAAATCACATAGTATGTTTCACCAGTTTGAAACCAAATAATTTATGTATATAGCAAGAATTAAAGCTAAAGGTTTGTGTTTGTTTATGTTAGCCACACAAAGACCACCTGCAAACATAATCCTTATTTGCCATCAAACATAGCACTGAACTTATTTTACCCAGCCAGTTACTTCTGCTGAGAATGACTAAACTTGGCAGATTTTGCACTATATTAGGTATTTATTAAAAGGTTAGTAGTCTGTTTTTAGTTATAGAAATGATAGGGAAATGTCTGTGCTCAAATCATTATTACATTTTCAAGGCTAAAATCTTGCTTGAAGAGTTAGTAAGGTTTTATCTATTTCTTTTTAATAAAGCTGATTTACAGATATGCACTTTGAATATTTGATTCTGGGGATTTAGATCACAAATACCTATTCCTATATATTTTGTATTTTCTGTAAATTACATACTCCTGAAGATGTTAAGGCACAAGAACTTTCCACATTAAGAATGAATTTCATGAATCTAATAAATTATTTACAACATGCTGTTCATTTAAGTGTCTGTTAAACATTAAGTATTAATTTAGATATTGGTACAATATGTTCTCAGAACTGTAATGTTTAAACAAATTAATTAACTTGATGAAAAACTTAGACATTTCTATTCCTGATTTTTTTTATATATATTTATTTATTTGAAAGTCCGCGTTAGAGAGAGAGAGGGAGAGACATATATTGAGACAGAGATCTTCCATCCACTGGTTCACTCCCCAACTGGATGCAATACCTGGGGCTAAGCCAGGCTGAAACCAGGCACCAGGAGCTTCATCTAGTTCTCCCACATGGATGGTAGAGGCCCAAGGACTTGGGCCGTCTTCTGCTGCTTTTCCCAGGCCATTAGCAGGGAGCTGGATCAGAAGCAGAGCAAGTTCTCGCCCCTCCCGATTTTTTTTTTTTTTTTTAAGATTTATTTCTATTTGAAAGAATTACAGAGAGAGAGAAGGAGAAGCAGAGAGAGAGGTCTTCCATCCACTGGTTCACTCCCCAGTTGGCCGCAATGGCCAGAGTTGTGCCAGTCCTAAGCCAGGAGCCAGGAGCTTCCTCCGGGTCCCCTACATGGGTGCAGGGGCCCAAGGACTTGGGCTGTCCTCTACTGCTTTCCCAGGCCATAGCAGAGAGCTGGATCAGAAGTGGAGCAGCCAGGACTAGAACCGGAGCCCTGTGGGATGCCGGCACTGCAGGTGGTGGATTCACCCACTATGCCCCAGCGTGAGCCCCTTGATTGTTTTTTAAGGAAAAAACTTTACATGGTAGCAACGATAGTTTATCACAGCCCTAAAAGAAGCCTTTTCTTTATTTTTTTTTCTTCAGAAACCTTTTATTTGAGGAATACAAACTTCATACATGTCATTATTACAACTTTAGGAACATGGTGATTCTTCTCACTATACCTACCCTTCCACCCACTCTCCCACCCCTCTTCCTCCTCCCTCTCCTATTCCCATGCTTATTTTTTACTAAGATCTATTTTCAATTAACTTTATACACATATGATTAACTCTGTTAAGTAAAGAGTTCAACAAATAGTATGAAAAAAAAAAGTGTTCCTCAATAGTCGAGACAAAGTCTGTTCAAAGTCATTGCTTCTCAAAGTGTTAATTTCTACAGATTGCCTTTTAGATGCTCTATTAGTTATCACAGGACAGGGAGAACATATGGTATTTGTCCCTTAGGGACTGGCATATTTCACAAAGCATGATGTTTTCCAGTTTCATGAATTTTGTTGCAAATGACCAGATTTTGTTTTTTGGGGTGCTTTTTTTGTTTGTTTGTTTGTTTGTTTTTACTGCTGTGTATTGTGTATATCTCATCATTTCTTCATCCAGTCTTCAGTTGACAGGCATTTGGGTTGATTCATATCTTAACTATTGTGAATTGAGCTACAATAAACATAGGGGTACAGATAACTCTTTCATATGCTGATTGCATTTCCCTTGGGTAGATTCTTAGGAGTGGGATGGCTGGGTCATATAGTAGGTCTATATTTAGATTTCTGAGGTTTCTCCATAATGTCTTCCAAGAAG